AAGCTGCTGCTCCAACACACAACACCATAGAAGATGGCTGATGCCTCTACCGAGTCAAAGAAGGTCTTCAGGAGCACCCCCTGCACTCCAAAACACCTCAGTCTCCTCAGCAGGTAGAGTCTGCTCTGACCCTTCCTGTAAAGTGCATCAGTGTTGTGAGACCAGTCCAGGTTATTGTTCAGGTGAACACCCAGGTACTTGTAAGAGTCCACGCTCTCAATATCCACTTTCAATCTACGTGTGTAAAGTGTTTTCACGCTCATCCCCGTGCGTGCTTTATTTATTTCCTTGTTTCGAACCTGTTGACCTGCTCCAGTCAGGGCGGCGTGTTTGAGCTCAACCGTCGGGCGCTCAGACTATTTTTGTAATGAATGTTCACTCGTGCACGGTGCAAGTGTGCTTCTGCTCGTTGAAGCTGAACTAGAACGTCCTGCAGGTCAGCTGCAGACCCCGTCACGGAGGGCCTACAGCGTAAACCAGGAACTTCAAACCAAAACTGGACAAACGGAGATCAAACGAAAACAGCTCCTCCATGAAAGTGATGAATGTGGGATCATGGAGCATTTATAAAGGATTTCAATGTGGTGATTCCCCCCAATGACCACCAGAGGGCAGTGCAGTTACTGTGAGGTGAGGTTTGAACTGACAGTTCAAGGACTCCCAGGTTTAATCAGGGATAGTTGTTTATTCACAACTTTAAAAGTAAACAAACAAATAAAAGTAACGCGCGGGGTGTTGGTCTCCAGAAGACGTTCCAAGGGTTGAAAGAGAGAAATGATATTTTCCTTCGTGCCTTGAAATGTAGGAGAAAGTAAAAGTAAAGGTCTTGGAGCTGCTAAACAGACTTGTTTTGGTGCTTTGAGTTGTAGTTTACGTTTAACGGCTTTAAACAACTTCCAGGGGTTGTTCATTAGTTCTCACTGCTTCTTCAAAGAAGATTCTGCTCTGAGCCGGTCAAGAGAGACTTTTACACGTCTCAGCCGCAGGCGCTGCTGCGTCCTGCAGCTGGAGACGTGGTCGGCAGAGACAAGCGTCCAGATGTTCAGGGGAACATGAACTCTTCTTCCTCTGTGCTTTTCAGAGTAAAACGTCTGTTCGTCACGCTGGTGGGGGACACCGTCAACCCAGGGACAAAGCTGGCACAGTTTCAACACTTTGTGGGAAGGGTCAGCAGGAGCTGAGGACGCTGGACGCTTCGAGTGTTCCTGCAGAAGAACACGAAGACGGAGAAATGACGGCCGAGTACAACAAACTGGTAGAAGATCAAAGGGCGCTCTTAAAAGATGCATCGTTCACTGACACGAACTCAGGTCTGGGTTTTTAAATCATCTTGTCATGAAGGATTTCAGTTTTGACCTGGTAGGAGTTCTTGATCCCTGTCCCTGGTCAACGTGGCCTTCAGTCCCTCAGTGTTGGTTCTGTAGAACCTGACCTGGACTCCACTGATCCTAAACAAGAAGAACCAGGAAGGAGAACGAGTTGGGGACCTGAATTTACTTGGATTCATTTTCTGGAATGGTCCAGAACCAGCAGGTGTGGACTTTACAGTGCTGCAGTCCTGGTCCGTGTGTGGCTGTTTGAGGTCTGATCCAGAGAAACCCTGAAGCGGTTCCAGGAGTTTCAATTTGACCTTTGACCTTCAGCAGAACAGCTGGTTCTGAAGACGTTCTGTTCTGGTGTGAACTGGGGCGGCACCACGAGACCTGCCGACCTGTGGCTCTGACAGAGCTGTCCGTCACATGACACACGCCTGTGACACGCCTGTGACACGCCTGTGACATGCCTGTGACACGCCTGTGACACGCCTGGCAGCTGAACACGGTGTGTGCGCAACAAAATCTTTTCTCTTGGACTCTCTGCTGACCTGCTGCGTCACGGTTGGTGCTGCTCGATGACAAACGTTGCTGTTTGAAATGTGTCACGCTCCATGTGTGCGTGAGCGCAGCTACAAACAGGCGTGTTGTTTGGTCTCCACCGTCGCCTCTAATTGCTGCTTTGAGCAAACACTTTTTGTTGGAAGCTCCAGTTTGTTTCTTGGGTTCAGCTTGTTTGGAGCCGAACCCTGACCCAGACAGACGGGAAGCCACACGTCCTCCATGTTTGTGCCTCCTCCATGTTTGTGTCTCCTCCATGTTTGTGTCTCCTCCATGTTTGTGTCTCCTCCATGTTTGTGTCTCCTCCATGTTTGTCTCCACACTGTTGCTGTGACGTTGCTGTGTCTCCAAACTGTTGCTGTGATGTTGCTATCTCTCTCCACATTGTTGCTGTGATGTTGCTGTCTCTCCACACTGTTGCTTTGATGTTGCTGTCTCTCTCCACACTGTTGCTGTGATGTTGCTATCTCTCTCCACATTGTTGCTGTGACGTTGCTGTCTGTCCACACTGTTGCTGTGATGTTGCTTTCTGTCCACACTATTACTGTGATGTTGCTGTCTCTCCACACTGTTGCTGTGATGTTGCTGTCTCTCCACACTGTTGCTGTGATGTTGCTGTC